CAGGTTCTGGTGTTTTTCACATCCGTGAATTGATTCATTTTTAAGTGCTCATCTATATGGCGTTACTTTATGAATTGCCTGTTTTCTCATCTCGACTCTCTTACTTTCTTACTTACTTACATTTTTAGTTCTTCCCCGGAAATTTGTTTGCTTTGAACTTTATCTACTGGTTGTCTTTGTAGTGGAAAGTCTCTTTTGTATACAACATAGAGATTATGAGATTTAGAAACAGTGAATTTTTGGGGATGTTTATCATGGTTGAGCAATAAAGCATCCCTTACTTTTGGAACTGTTCTTTGAAGAGTTGTTGCATTTGCTTGAAAGTAGTTGATGTATTTTTCTCTTTGATTTAAAGAGAGAAACTTCAGAGGCAGCTTTTTTAAGACATGCTAGCATGCTGTTACTTAATGTTGCTGTCTGGTGTGCTTTTCTCTTCGTTCAGTGTTGACCTGTCCGCCAGAAAATTGATCAGGGTAAAACAGTTGTTGGAAGAAAGTGAAATGCATTATCTGGTCTTTTATCATGTTTCTTATGTGTTCTTTATGATCATCCTTGAATGCATTTTCTTGTAGCCTTTTAATATAAAATAAATGTTATTTTTGATGTTGGTCATCCCTACGCATTGGAATGGTCTTGTTCTAATCTGTAGCAATACAATTGATATTCTTCTATTTTATATACTGATAAAATCTTTACCTGACACGTAGCTACATACTTTTTCAGGGGCAAGGAAACTGAATTCCACATTGAACCTGAACTAACTCTGGAGCTGATGATGGCCGCTAATTATCTTCATACTTAGGAATTTACTCTATCTTCTCCTTGGGTGACATGGTTTATCTGACATGTAAGTCCTTCGGTTATTTTGATTGTGTTTATTTGCTTGGTTTCAGGAGTAGCAAGTAGATAACTTTCACTATCTTTAACCTTAAATTGGCTGTTTGGTCCATCTACCAGAACTGCTGAAGGATGATATTGTTGCCCGAGTAGAATTAACGATCTTAAGATATCTGTTTATGGTGTCATGGGTTGGAATCACTGCGCATTGAAGATGGTATATTTAGATTAGTTTATAAGACTGTTTTTATTTGTAACAATGTGGAACTCATATAGCCACTAGTGTGGTTATTGGCTTGGGAGATGTAAATTTGTATTTTACATTAGACAAAATACAAAGAAGGTGAATATCTAATCTTAAAACTTAGCGAACAATCTTGACAAGATAAACATGTTTGCATTATTGATGAAGCTTCTCTTAATACTACATGGCTTCTGGTGCCATCTCTGAATATTGGGCAGGTAAAGAAAGTTAACTCTGTGTAAAGCATATTCTGAATGACTGATGATCCCTTCACCATATTTGTAAACTTTCTCTTATTCTGAATGAGGCTGCCATTAAATGTTTATGGAAATTTTGAGTTTGATGTGCTAAAGTCAGAATTGAATTTTTATTCCCAAGTAACTTCAGATTGGCATAAATAATCTAAAAACAAAAAGTTATACACTGTAACTATGTATGTCAAGACTAAAATTTTAAAATTAGAATATATATTTTTTAAGAATTAAATAGAAAATGAATTAACTGAGCAATTATTTTGTTATATGAAAAGAAACATGAGAAGAGCTCTTTTAATTTATTGGGTTCAAATCTATTTTATATTCATTTAATTCTTAAATTGTAATTATTTAATATGTAAAAGTTAATCATAATTTATATGTTTGATGCATATTAAATCAAATTTACTCATACTTTCAAGGTCATACCAATGGATTTGTATTTTACATGTCAAATAAGAAATCACAAAATTACTTAAATTGACAAAGAATTGACTAAAATAGTTAAATTTTTAACTCAGTTCATTTTGTACTTATGAGATTGAAATCAAACAATCCGAGTGCTTAATTATTTTTATACTGCATGTAAAAAGAAAAACATTAGATATAGCAAATATATTGCCTAGCAATATAACATGCTTGTAAGTTCGTCTTACCTATGAAAAGTTTTCCAATAATGGATGGTGGTGTCTTGCACAGAATAACTAACTCAATATATACAAAAGAAATTTCAACAGATCAGCAGCTGAAGTAAATCTAAAAGATCAGAATAGGCCTAATCAAGCACCGAGTCAAGTATTACTAGAGTCATGTATATATATATATGAATGGTATATCTATATATATTATGTATTGCAATCTAACTGCTTTGTTGAATGTTTTTATATTTCAGAGAAGCCAAATATGGAAATCTGCAGTAGCTTTAACATTCTGTGCTGATTAATAAATCATCTTTATCTTTTACCTTGAAATGCTTAGGTATGTATCAAAGAATATATATATATACATATATATATATATGATATAAAAGGAAACAACTTCATGTATCAGATTCAGTCTCCTCATGAATCCATGTATAAATACCAGTCCCGTCTTCTCCCCATTGTCACATACAGATCAACAATGGCTAACCAAAGGGCTAACCAAAGTTTTGTAATGTTTTATTACCTTCTCTCTGTTCTTATTCTTAACATGAGTCCATTTTGTGATGGCACTGATGAAGATAGAAGGGTAAGTGGCCTCATTTTCTAAGGATTGTTATTTTTCTCTGTCATCTGGTAAGCAGTAAGATTAATAGATATATGTTATATATATATATATATATATTATAATTGTCATTGTTAGACAGAGCACTACAACTAGTTACAGTTAGGTTTAGTGCATGGATTTATGTTAATGATGGTGATTCTGCAGGTCCATATTGTGTACATGGGATCACTTCCTGATGCCGGTGACTATATACCATCATCTCATCATCTAAAAATGCTTGAAGAAGTTGTTGAGAGCAGGTGAAATCTGTGGATTAATTCAGTTAATGCATAAATAATAGATTAAACATGTAGAACATAAGCTTGGTTCATACTCTCGACTTAATTGATTTTTCCATGAGGGAATGTGTTAACGGATAAATAATGAATTAAACCATTTTCTATCAATTTAAGTTCTCTCTCTCTTTCCCTCTCTTTGGCCAGTCCTGCAGAAAATTTATTGATTAGAAGTTACGGAAGGAGTTTCAATGGATTTGCAGCCAAACTCACTGATTCTGAGAAGCAAAAACTCGCTGGTGAGTTCTTTGAAAATTATTATTTTTACTCAGTTTCAATAGAATATGAATCATTCTGTTCAACTCTGATATGCAGCAATGGAAGGAGTAGTTTCAGTCTTCCCTAGTAGGATTTATCATCTTCAAACAACAAGATCGTGGGACTTCATGGGATTCAACGAGACTGTGGATCGTAATCCCAGCCTTGAGAGTGACATGATAGTTGGTTTACTTGACAGCGGAATCTGGCCTGAGTCAGAAAGCTTTACTGATGAAGGTTTTGGTCGTGCTCCAAAGAAGTGGAAGGGTGCTTGTATAGGTGGCAAAAATTTCACTTGTAACAAGTAATTTTTTTCCCTCTTATATCTATCAAATTAAACTGTTATTATAGATTTTTATAAACAATACTAACAGCAAATCTTACAGTAAAATCATCGGAGCTCGATATTATACTACAGAATCAATGCCCATGGATTCTACAAGAGATACTGATGGCCATGGAAGCCATACTGCTTCTACAGCTGCAGGAAACAAAGTAAAAGATGCAAGTTTCTATGGACTGGCTCAAGGTACTGCCAGAGGAGGAGTGCCCTCTGCAAGGATTGCTGCATATAAAGTGTGTGATCCATTTTGTTTTCCAGAAGCTATAATGGCTGCTTTTGATGATGCCATTGCTGACGGAGTTGACATTTTATCCATTTCGCTGGGAGCAGTAGTAGAACAAGAATTTGAGGATGATCCGATTGCAATTGGAGCTTTCCATGCATTTGAAAAAGGGATTCTTACAGTACATTCTGCAGGAAATCAAGGTCCTGATGCCGGAACGTTGGGAACTGCTGCACCATGGATGCTTACGGTTGCAGCGAGCAGCATAGATCGTTTGTTCGTTGACAAGGTCATTCTCGGGAATGGGGAAACATTAGTAGTATGTTTCACAGACTCTTTTCATCCTTCTAATTGTTGATGTTCTATATTCTCCAGTCTTTCTTATGCTAATGTTCATATTTAAAACAGGGAAATTCAGTTAATTCTTTCAATCTAAGCAGAGTAAATTTTCCTCTCATAAACGGGCAAAATGCCTCGTCCGGGTCATGTCCTGCTGCAAGTTCTCAGTAGGCTCTCTACCGAAAACTCTTACATCAAGCTATTTGATACACTCAATACTAATGAAGTGAGATCCTCCAATTCTCAATTTTTATCAGGTTCTGTCAGGATGGATGTCTAGACAGTAAATTGGTAAAAGGCAAGATTGTGCTTTGCGACAACTATGATGTCAGTACTGAAGCTCACAGAGCTGGAGCTGTGGGATCAATAATGAGAAATACTTTACTTGTCAATATCTCCTTTGTTGACCCCTTAGCTGCATCTGGTTTAACTGATAGAGACACTGACATAGTCAAGGCCTATATGAATAGCACAAAGTATGAATATCTATAACTTTCCATTGCTTCAATTACTTGGTTAATAATTTTCTATTACAATCTATTGCAGAGAACCTGTAGCAACAATACTAAAAAGTGAGACTATTAAAGATTTGACAGCTCCTACAACGGCTTTCTTCTCTTCGCGCGGACCAAGTCATTTTGTAACAGACATTTTGAAGGTATTCGTCACTCCCCGGCTGTAACTGCTTATTTATCTATGTTTTGCAAAGTGATAAATTAGCAAGTAAATCCAAAAGAGAAAAGCAAAAGCGAGACAATACACATATATAGTGCTGTAATGGTAAATCAAGATATCTTATAACAAGCTCCTACATTAAAATGACTAGATTTTGCTGAATTAAGACTTCAATGCGATACAGCCAGATTTGACAGCTCCTGGAGTAGATATTTTAGCTGCATATTCACTTGTTGCTCCGCCATCTTATGATCCCTTGGACAAACGCAGTGTAAAATACAATGTATTGTCTGGCACCTCAATGTCTTGCCCTCATGTTTCGGGGGCAGCTGCTTATATCAAGACAATTCACCCTGATTGGTCTCCTTCTGCAATCAAATCTGCTCTAATGACCACTGGTAATCCCTTTATCAGTTTCGTGAGCGTCTGATGTTTCTCAGCCACTGAATTAATCTGCTTTCTCTTGTAGCTTGGCCTATGAATTCGTCCCAAACCGCTAATGAGTTTAGTTATGGATCCGGGCATATCAATCCCCTACAAGCTGCTGATCCTGGACTCGTATACGAATCTTTTAAAGAGGATCACATAAAATTTCTTTGTAACCTGGGCTATAATGGGCCCAAACTTAAGCAAATAGCAGGAGAAAACATCACTTGTCCTGAAGGGTCTAAGAAATCATTGGTGAAAGATCTTAATTATCCATCAATGGCTGCCAAAGTTGAATTCGAACAACTAGTTGTTGTCACTTTTCATCGAACTGTTACAAATGTTGGCCCTGCAAACTCCACTTACAAGGCAAGTGTTAATCCAAGTTTAGTGATGAACATCATAGTGGTGCCTGAAGTACTCGTGTTTGAATATCCAAATCAGAAGAAGTCTTTCAATGTCACTGTTCTTGCAGCACCATTGGGAGATGAAGTAATTCTATCAGGATCACTTGTTTGGTCTGATGGCATTCATAGAGTCAGGAGTCCCATTGCAATTCACACTATAACTTCTTAGTTAATAGTAATTCGATTATCGTAGCGAAATGTTGCTTACCAAAATCTTGTAATAAACATCTGGTGCATATATAACGCAGTCTCTTATTACCTGCATAGGCAAAGACTAATGGGTTTACATGGATTCCAATTGCTTTATTTCTTCCTTTGTTGTCTAATGATCTATATTGTAGTCTGGCAGATGGAAATTGAGAAAGACAAATATTATATGTGTGTGTACATATTTATAATATAAGGCGCTTGATATTGTTTATAGTTTGATGATGATGACTATAATGATGCAGGTATATATTGTGTATATTGTATCACTTCCAAAACTGCTTAGAAGCATTTCACCATGTAAGTACAATTCAAGAAATTGTTGATCAGGGCAGGCAGCATTCCTAGAATCATAGACCCATTTCTTGTAATAGTGTATAATGAATTCAAGTTAATTATTCTCGTAAAATAATTTTTATAAAAGTATATGTCTCTTATATACTTATCATCTATAAATCTACACCCAGTATTTAGGTCTAAAGTTTATTTGTTTGAATTTTGATCAAGTACAATGAAGTTTACCTTATTAAAATTCAAAATTCTTTTAATTATTGTAAGTATCAATGACCAATTACCTAACAATAACATTTCGTATTTGAATCCACTTAATCCAATTCGTATTTATTGAATCAGATCGTGATAAATTTAGATTTAATATTTTAAAATATCTAAATATGATCCGTTATGTATATATTATATTTATATTAATAAATATAATAAAAATTAAAATATGTATTTTTTCAAGAATTAAATAGAAAATGAACTAACCGAGCATTATTATACACGAAAACAAACATAATAAGAGCTCTTTTAAATTATTCGGTTCAAATCTATTCTAGCTTTATTTAATTCTTAAATTTTAATTATTTAATAGATTAAAATTAATCGTAATTTATATATTTGATGAAACAAAATTCACTCATGCTTTCAATTTTGTTCTAATGAATTTGTATTTTACTTGTCAAAAAAGAAATCACAAAATTACTTAAATTGATATGAAACTAACATAGAAATATCATCTTAATTAAATTTTTAACTCATTCATATTGGACTCGCGTTCATATTTTTTAAATTCGAATAGAACTCAATCTTAGATCAAATAAACTGAGTATTCAATCTAGGCCGATATAATGCTTGTAGGTTCATCTTACCTGTGAAAAGTTTTCCGAATATGGATGGTGGTGTCTTATATAGAATAGCTAACTCAATATATACAAAAGAAATTTCAACAGGTCAGCAGCTAAAGGAAATCTATAAGATCAGAACAGGCCTAATCAAGAACCGAGTCATGTATTACTAGTCATATATATGCATGGTATATCTATATATACTATGTATTGCAATCTAACTGCTTTGTTGAATGATTTTATATTCAGAAAAGCCAAATATGGAAATCTGCAATAGCTTTAACATTCTGTGCTGATTAATACATCATCTTTATCTTTTATCCTTGAAATGCCAAGGTCTGTTTCAAAGAAAATATATATACGATATAAAAGGAAACAATTTCGTGCATCAGATTCAGTCACCTAATGAACCCATGTATAAATACCAGTTCCCATCTTCTCCCCATTGTCACATGCAGATCAACAATGGCTAACCAAAGTTCTGTACTGTTTTATTACCTTCTCCCCGTTCTCATTCTTAGCATGAGTCTGTTTTGTGATGGCACTGATGAAGATAGAAGGGTAAGTGCCCTCATTTTCTAAGGGTTGTATATATATGTCATATATGTTTTTATATGTATTAAATTATCATTGTTAGACAGAGTTCTACAACTAGCTACAGTTGGGTTTAGTGCATGGGTTTATGTTAATGACGGTGATTACACAGGTCCATATTGTGTACATGGGATCACTTCCTTGATGGCCGCGACTATATACCATCATCTCATCATCTAAGTATTCTTGAAGAAGTTGTTGAGAGCAGGTGAAATCTGTGGATGTTAATTCGTAGATTAAATATGTAGGATGTATGATTGGTACATACTCTCAACTTAACTGATTTTTGCATGAGGGAACGTGTTAACGGGTTAATAATGAATTGAACCATTTCCTATCAATTCAAGTTCTCTATCTCCCTCTCTTTGGCCAGTCCTGCAGAAAATTTATTGATCCGAAGTTATGGAAGGAGTTTCAATGGATTTGCAGCCAAAATCACTGATTCCGAGAAGCAAAAACTCGAGGGTGAGTGCTTTGAGAATTCTTTTTTACTTAATTTCAATAGAATACGAATCATTCTGTTTTTGAACTCTGATATGCAGCAATGGAAGGAGTAGTCTCAGTCTTCCCTAGTAGGATTTATCATCTTCAAACAACAAGATCGTGGGACTTCATGGGATTCAACGAGGCTGTGGATAGTAATCCCAGCGTTGAGAGTGACATCATAGTTGGTTTACTTGACACCGGAATCTGGCCTGAGTCGGAAAGCTTTACTGATGAAGGTTTTGGTCCTGCCCCAAAGAAGTGGAGGGGTGCTTGTATAGGTGGCAAAAATTTCTCTTGCAACAAGTAAATTTTTTCCTCTAATATCTATCAAATTGAACTGTTAGTATAGATTTTTATAAAAAATACTAACAGAAAATCTTACAGTAAGATCGTCGGAGCTCGATATTATCCTGAACAAGGAGTTCCCATGGATTCTGCAAGAGATACTAATGGCCATGGAAGCCATACTGCTTCTACAGCTGCAGGAAACAAAGTAAAGAATGCAAGTTTCTATGGCCTTGCTCAAGGTACTGCCAGAGGAGGAGTGCCCTCTGCAAGGATTGCTGCATATAAAGTGTGTGATCCAGAATGTCCTGCAGAAGCTATAATGGCTGCTTTTGACGATGCCATTGCTGATGGAGTTGACATTTTATCCGTTTCGCTAGGAGAAATAGAAGAACAGGAATTTAAGGATGATCCAATTGCAATTGCAGCTTTCCATGCATTTGAAAAAGGAATTCTTACAGTAAATTCTGCAGGAAATCTGGGTTCTATTGTCAGAACATTGTCAAGTCCGGCACCATGGATGCTTACAGTTGCAGCGAGCAGCATTGATCGTTTGTTCATTGACAAGGTCATTCTCGGAAATGGGGAGACATTTATAGTATGTTTCACAGACTCCTTTCATCCTTCTAATTGTTGATGTTCTATATTCTTCAGTCTTTCTGATGCTAATGCTCATAACTACACCAGGGAAATTCAATTAATTCTTTCAATCTAGGCAGAGTAAATTTTCCTCTGATAAACGGGCAAAATGCCTCGTCCGGGTCATGTGCTCCCGCAAGTTCTCAGTAGGGTCTCTTCCAAAAACTCTTACATAAAACCATTTGATATACTCAATACTAACGAAGTGAGATCCTCCAATTCTCAATGTTTGTCAGGTACTGTCCGGAAGGATGTCTAGACAGTAACTTGGTAAAAGGAAAGATTGTGCTTTGCGACGACTATGATGGCAGTACTGAAGCTCACAGAGTTGGAGCTGTGGGATCAATAATGAGAAGTACTATCTTTGTCAATATCTCCTTTGTTGAACCCTTACCTGCATCTGGGTTAACTGATAAAGACTATGAAATAGTCCAGGCCTACATCAATGCCACAAAGTATGAATCTTTATAACTCTCCATTGCTTTAATTATTTGGTAAATAATCTTCTAATATAATCTATTGCAGGGAACCTGTAGGAACAATACTAAAAAGTGAGACTATTCAAGATTTGACAGCTCCTACGATAGCTTTCTTCTCTTCACGCGGACCAAGTCATTTCGTATCAGACATTTTGAAGGTACTAATCACTTCCCAGCTTTAACTGCTTATATATCTACGTTATGCTGATATAAGACTTCAATGCAATACAGCCAGATTTAACAGCTCCTGGGGTAGATATTTTAGCTGCATATTCACCTGTTGCTCCCCCGTCGGGTGATCCCTTGGACAAACGTCGTGTAAAATACAATGTATTGTCTGGCACCTCAATGTCTTGCCCTCATGTTTCGGGGGCAGCTGCTTATATCAAGACAATTCACCCTGATTGGTCTCCTTCTGCAATCAAATCTGCTCTAATGACCACCGGTAACCCCTTTGTCAGTTTCGTGCGCATCTGATGTTTCTCAGCCACTGATTTAATCTGCTTTCTCTTGTAGCTTGGCCTATGAATCCTTCCCAAGGCGCTAATGAGTTTAGTTATGGATCCGGGCATATCAATCCACTACAAGCTGCTGATCCTGGACTCGTATACGAATCTTTTAAAGAGGATCAGATACAATTTCTTTGTAACCTGGGGTATAATGGGACCGAACTTAAGCAGATATCAGGAGATAATAGCACTTGTCCTGAAGGGTCTAAGAAGTCATCGGTGAAAGATCTCAATTATCCTTCAATGGCTGTCAAAGTTGAAAAAGAACAGCCATTTGCCGTCACTTTTCATCGAACTGTTACAAATGTTGGCCCTGCAAACTCCACTTACAAGGTAAATGTTTATCCGGGTCGAATGACAAATATCGTAGTGGTCCCTGAAGTACTCATTTTCGAATCTCCGAATCAGAAAAGGTCTTTCAATGTTGCTGTTGTTGGAGCACCTTTGGCAGACGAAACAATTCTATCGGGATCTTTTGTTTGGTTTGATGGCACCCATACAGTGAGGAGTCCCATTGTAATTCACACACTTACTTCTTAGTTAGCAAGATTATCATAATGTAATGTTGCTTATTAAAACCTAGTAATAAGCATTTGAAACATATACAACTCAGTCTCTTATTACCTGCATATGCAAAGACTGATGGCTTTACATGGATTCCAACTGCTTTATTTCTTTCTTTGTTGTCTGCTGATTTATATTGTAGTCTGGCAGATGGAAACTGAGGAAGTCAAAGTATTATACGTACGTATACATGCATATAATATAAGGCACTTGATATTGTTTATACTTCCACGACCGATTACTATAATGATGCAGGTGTATATTTGTGTATATTGTATCACTTCCAGAAGGGAGTGTTAGCAGCATTTCACCATGTAAGTATAATTCGAGAAACTGTTCATCAGGGTAGGTAGCTTTTCTAGAGTTATAGACGTAATTCTCGTTTTCTTGACAGTTATTTTTTCTAAATAATTTCTATTTACTGCATAATATATAAATTCTACATATGTAATTATTAAATTGAATATAAAAATTCAAATCAGATATTACTAAAATTTAACTTTAAATTTTTGATAATTACTAATTTAATTTTTTAAAAATTATTAAGTTAATAGTACTTAAATTTGTAGCATGTTCTCTTTGTTTCATAATTTTTTTTTTTTCAATTAAGACTTATTTCATCAACGCGCGAAATCGAACGCCTCTAAATTTCAATTACAAATTTTCTCAAAATCAAATTCTGTAACCCTAATCCATGACTGTAACTAAAGTCAAGGCCTTGTTATTCAGCTATGTCGTATAAACGTTATATGCACATCACGCAGATGATTACTGAGTACAAGCACATTTACCTAGGAATTAACTTGTGAATTGCCAAAATTTTTAATCTAATTGATTAATTTCTTCAAGTCAATCTAACAATGGCAATTCGGGCTTCTTTAAGATCAAAACTTTCACTCTTCGCTTCAATTATCTCCCAAAACATCGCTACAAAAGCTACAAACAACCATTGGTTATTGCGGCCATTAAAACCCATAAGTCAAGCTCTAGATTTGAATCGACAAAAACCCTTTTCAGGGTTTAGACAATACCATGACGGCAGGCCGAGGGGACCCCTTTGGAGAGGCAAGAAGCTTATTGGCAAAGAAGCGCTCTTCGTAATAGCCGGTATGAAGAGGTTTAAGGATGACGAAGGCAAACTCGAAAAATTTATCAAGACCCATGTCTTGAGGCTATTGAAGATGGATATGGTTGCAGTTTTATCTGAGCTTGAGCGCCAAGAGGAGACCACTTTGGCTGTTAAGGTACTTTGCCTCTGTTCTTGGCTTGCATTAGCTGTTTGTTGAATCTACTCGAGTGGGTTCTAAAATTGTTCAAGTTGTACGTTGGGTCTGTTCTGCTTTTAATTGAAGTAGTCTTTTAAGCTTATTTGCTATAGCTTGATCTTGATTCTTCTTGGGACACAATTTGATCTATTTAGTCATCGAAGTGTTGTAGAGCTAGTATTGTAAATTAAATCATCGAAAGATCTGTCAAGTAGATAGTTTACGCATACGAATTGTTCGATAAAATGCTTGAAAGATATTTGGTTCCTTTCTTTGGAAAATTTTAAGAGATAAGTCTTAACTTAATCTAATATTTTGTTAGAAATGTGAGGAAGAAGAATGAGAGAGGGAAGACTCAATTTTTTAATTTGTGGTAGTCTCTGTAAATTTTTAAGTATATAAGTATATATAGACAGTAACATAATTTTTAAAATTTTAAATACATGAATTATACTTAAGTTTAATACATGAACCAAATAGTAAAACTCAAAAGACACATATTAATGATTATATTTATAATTTACATTTAACTTTACTCCCTAGTAAAACAAAAAGTATGGACATGTTAAAATTTGTAAATTATTACTTTCAACGATATGTTTTGCAGTGGTAGAAATTCTGATGATCAAACAATAAGTCTGATAATATAGTCAAGTTTTGATTTTTATGTGACTGTTTACAGATGTTTAAAGGGTAACTCGTTGAATTGCAGATGTTTGAGGTTATTCGGAAGCAAGATTGGTATAAGGCTGATGTGTATCTTTACAAGGACTTGGTTATTGCACTAGCAAGATGTAAGAAAATGGATGAAGCAATGCAATTGTGGGAAAGCATGAAAAAAGAGGATTTATTTCCTGATTCTCAAACATATGCCGAAGTTATAAGAGGTTTCCTGAGGGATGGCTCTCCTGCTGATGCCATGAATATATACGAGGACATGATCAAGTCTCCGGATCCACCAGAGGAGTTGCCATTCAGAATTTTGTTGAAGGGCCTTCTGCCACACCCTCTTCTGAGAAATAAAGTTAAGAAAGATTTTGAGGAGCTATTTCCTGAAAAGCATGCTTATGATCCTCCAGAAGAGATTTTTGGTAGATGCTGAGGTTCGAGTTATACACTCTATTTTTCCCTTTGCTCTTTATACATATAAGTTACTTGTTGAAATGTTCTATGGCTGTCACTTTAGAAATGAAGATTGGTCAGGGAATTGAGTTCGTAGATCGGAAAAAGTTTATATGGATTAAGAAATAATCCATGATTAATCATCCTTAATTGGATATGCAATCAAAGATGACAGTTCGATATATGGATAACATTGGTTGAATGTGGGAGTGGGACTACCAGCCATACTCTGGTCTGCTTTTCGTGTATGGGTGTATCTGCAAAAAGAGCTTGTTTGGTTGACCTGTTATTTATGATGTGAATGGCAAAAATTGTTGAGGGTATCTTCATTAAAGCCATTCTCGAAATCTAAAGTAGCTTCTGCTTCTTACTGAAAGTGCTTATATTTTAGATGCTTAACTTTTTTTTTCCAAAGCAGAAAGGCACAAGCTAGAGGACCAACCAAATGAACATTAGATACGAACTTTCATCTGATTGTAGCATCTTAACAACATTGCTTCAAGACCTTTTCTACTATGATTTCCTTTTATCAATATTTTGTTTGGTAAATGCCTGTATCCAACCTTATCTCAATTTCTCTCTTATTCTCTGAGAATCGGTTTATAATGTCTATCATTTATGTTTTTATTGTTTCGTATGGGTGATCACTTGACTGATAAATCTGTCTGTGAAAGGGCAAAACTGAGCAGTAGGATAGATAAATCGTATTCCCTGAGTTCATGCAACTTGGTTGCAGAG